TAAAAAAAAACTACAAAAAATGCTTTAAAAGTGAAAAAATGCAAAACTAGCTTATAATCTAAAGAGCACTGTCTATTCTCATGCAGCATAAAGTCTACTGTTTTTTGAAGTTCTAATAGCATATTAAATCACTTCTATTCCTTTTCCTTTCATAATGGCAATGGAATTATTAAGTCTAGCTTCACAGGATTCAAGTTGGCTTATTTTGAAACTTATTTCAACCTTGCACTGGGTTACTGCTTTTGTAAGATCTGTAACTTCTGCATTTTCCTTATCCCTTCGCTGATCAAGCTTTTTTCGGCATTCAGAGAGTGAACTATCACATTTGCTATAATGTTTTTCTCGTGTTGTCGTCCAATCATAGTAGAACTTCCTCGCATCTTTCGTTTTTTCCTCCTTTTCCTGTTTATTTTCTATTGCATTTTGTTCCGCTTCTTCTTTTGTCTTATTCAAGAGATTGCTATACGTTTCATCTTGCGTTTTCATCATCTCCTTACAGGTGGCCATATCTTTCTCACGATTAACATTGCATTCATTTCTTGTACGGGCCAGCTCATTTTTGAGCTCATCCTTTGTCTTTATCAGCTCTGCATTTACATTTTTTAGTGTTTTCAGCTCCTCCATAAGACCTCCAAAATAAAAACTGAAATAACTAAACAAGCAAAAACCAACCAGCATTACAGCTATGATAACAGGCAGAGTATTAAAAAGAGGCTGAGAAGGCGGTGGTGCTGGTGGTGGAGGTTGATGGTATATCTGAGGCTGAGGGGGAGGCTGTTGGTATTGAGCCTGAGCTGGAAGAGGCTGTTGGTATTGAGCCTGAACTGGAGGAGGCTGTTGGTATTGAGCCTGAGCTGGAGGAGGCTGTTGGTATTGAGCCTGAGCTGGAGGAGGCTGTTGGTGTTGTGCCTGAGGAGCTTCACCTTCACGGCCAGGTCCTCTGTATCTCACCTATTGTATAAGATAATTATTAAGAACTAATTCCCCTGATTCCTTACATCATTATCGTTATTTTCCATGGGCCAAAATATAAGTAAATGAGAATCTATTCAAGAGAGTCTATCCTTCTCAGGGCTGCAATGAGATTAAAAATTCATCAGTTTTCTTTTTTTATACAGTGTAGGCATGTGTTTGTAGTATCTGTAGTGTAGGAGTGTTCTTGTTAATTTGATTGCCTCACAGTCTATCTAAACACTATGGATTTTTACCATAGATGATTACATATGTGTACTCACAATCTTACTTCTAAACCACAATCTACAGTAGCATTCATGCAAGTCTCGTTATGTCATCATTTGGGTGGACGACTGTAGCCTGGAGGCAAGTGAGACTACGTGCATGCTGCATCATAGCATTGATACTGTAGATCTATGTATGATCATAGC